AGAATGTGTACTCGTTAAACGATGATTCTCAGAGAAAAGCTTTCGGAAAGGTTAACGCGTTGCAAATCGGTAGCTCGTTAAATTAGTTTATCAAACGCGAGAGACTGCCATGTTCATTCGCTTATCGACGATTTATCGACAGCACGTTACTCCGTTGCTCTGGAAAAACGTGCCACGCGAGACGTGTTCGTTTGAAAATTGCCGACGACATCTTCCACGCGTGCACAGTTTCGCCGCGTCGCGCACGCCGGTCTGTGCAGAAGTGTATTACTCGAGGCGAAGTCGCTCCGGCGAGTGTCGACGCCGCGAACGGAAAAATCTCGCGAGTATAGGCTCGGATGATCGGGCGGCGAGCGGGCGAGGCAGCCAGCCGGCGGCTAGAGAAAGAGGAAATGGGATAAGACGAGGAGAACGAACGGCGGAACGGCAAGAAAACGGCAGACTAAAAGAATCCGCCGGATTTCCGCTCGACGTTAAAGCGCCTATCGAGGCCGTTGCGCAACGCGCCTAAGTACACGCCCGATAACGATGCCAACCGAGGAGATCGAAGCGAGCCCCGCCGCTACGCTTCGTTCCGACGAAATCGATGCGGATTTCAGAAAGCGAGTCTGTCCCTCCGCGAACCAGTAATTACCGTTTCGAATCTTATCCGATACACGTCGAAGACCGGCCGGTACTCGCGATCACCGATAATCTAATATAGGGTAACGCCGCTTAATATGGAACAGCTCCCGATATAGACCCGCATATTTCGAAAAATAAACAGCCTGGTATGTCGGCTACCATGGGAAACACCTAATTGGTAACGGAAAACAATCATGTTAACGGCCGGACGTCAACGAAGAATTTGGCGAACGAATTTTCTGAAAGACAATTCATATAGTGAAATTTCTTGACACAAGTGGGTGGAGAACCTTCATTTTCTCATGGTTTATCATCGGAATTCGTATAATATTACTGATCCTCTCCTAATAAGGATAAACCTTCCAAAACTCCGAAAATCGGATCGGTAAAGTTTGCTCGATCAACGACTCTCGAGGAGCTTCTCGACTGAACGTCCCCAATCGACGTCGATCATCTAGATACACGTGAAATTGGTTTCGAAGCGACTCGGAAGCACCGGTGACCGGTGGCCACGGTGGCAGTGGACGCGCCGAGCCTCTCGATTCGATTCTCGGAACGTGGCGGCGCGTCCTCGTTCCGAATCCGCACACCCGGCCAATGGAACCAGCGAAATTCGCCGGACGCTTGCGGAATCACGTAGGACGCGCGTCCGCGCCGAGTTCGCGGGTTCCTCCTTTCATAGGCGGACCTGACCTAAGCCAACCGGGTTTCGTGATATCCGACATCCGGTCCGGATCACCGTTCGCAAAGAAGGAGCCACGGCGAGGAGAGGTATCGACCGGCTCGCTTTATTCGCCGAGGCGCGCGACACGTCGAGGCCCGACCCGACCCTCGCGGTTCTTCCTTACGTAACCCGTCGCGTGCATAGTAGATTCAACGACGCGGGTCTCAACGTTTGCACTTTTTCCTGGAAAATGCCAGGATGGAGCTTCTTTCGGTTTGTATGAAAAGAGGAAAACTGAACGAAGCTCTGGTTTTGTATGAAAAGATTCTGAACGCGTCTGTACCATTGCTCGAGCGGGTAACATAAGAGGGAACGAAGAATTAACCAGTTAACTGTGTTTGACGAGTATACACTCTTAATGCTGCTAACTTTTTCAACGATGGATTATTTATGTTTTGAGACAAACATGTAATTCTTCTTCGTTTCGCTTTAGTTTTTCGTTAGGATATATTTCATTATTTGATTTTATTGCGCGCACAGTAAGAGATTTTTCAAACTACATTCCACACTTAACTGGTTAAAAGGGAAACGAATAAGCGATACTCGATTGCACGAACCGATAGGCTGATGCATTAGGCAGCGTAACCTTGCTCGAACAATTAATCGCGAAAACAAATTAACGAGCACGCTAAGGAGTCTTCGATCGGAATTCCCGTAAACATGAGATTCCGGGAACCTATCCATCAGCAGCGATAAGGAGCGTAGCGAGTCGCGAAGAGATTTCGTCGAAAGTCATGCTCGTCGGTGTTTCATTAGAGAACGATGAGTACACTCGGAGAGCTTTCGAGCGCGAGGGGTTAAAACGGACCGAGGCGCGAGGCGGTTCCGATAGCGGCGATAAAAATAGCTATCCGGCCACTTTCTACCGGTGGAATTTCCGTTGAATTTTAAGAAAGGCCAAAATGCACCGACGGAGCAGGGTAGGGCCGAAAGAACTGTGCACGCGCGCGGCACGGAGCGATACGCGCGTGGGCCAGCCAACGTGGTCGGAGCTGCTTTCTACGCGCGGGCGAGAGCTCCTCGATCGCGCGCGCAGCCGGACACACCGCGGTACCGATTTTACACGTGTCTACTATCACCCACATACGGCCCCGGCGTTATTCAATCGGATTATTTATCGCGACATTTTCATTTCGAACGCGACCGCCCGCCCGGCCCGAAAACGGTTCCGTTCGGACTACCACATGTCGACGCCTGCCTTCTCCTGCTCTCTTCCCTTTCTCGCTGGATCCTCTTTGAATCGACGCTGGAACTACCAAGGAATTGGAACGACTTGTTTAGAATGTCCCCCGACAACCAGAGAAGTACCTGTTTCTGAAACTCTGAAGCTTTCGAAGGTTTTACTTGACAATTCGCCGCAGAGGCGGCTCGTCTAAGTAGCTCTAGCGTCGACGACGCGTCTCGCGTTTACAATGTTCTCATCTCCGATGTCCCGATGTTCCTGGCGGAAAGTGCTTTCAGTGTTCTAGAGAGACGAGGCGTCTAGACGCAGACTCGCGTGCGGGATCCCCGGCGAGCCCGGAACAGGTGCACCCGACGTACCTTTTAATCGATGCTCCGTCCAGGTTCGCGAAAGCGGGAAAGAGAAGCGGTCGGACGCGACACTCCGGGACGAGTTCGCGCGAGTTTGACGATGTAATTGAACGCTGTCGAGCGGAATTGGCCGTTCCCCTCGCTCGCGGTTAACTTAACGCTTAACTTCCAATAAATCAACCGGTTCCCACGCACGAAAATCGCGGACGATCTTGCGCAAATAACGCGACCATTCGGAGGCGAACCATTTGCCTAGTAAATCATTTCGGTGGCCGAGTCCGGTCTGCCGAGGCTGGGGCCGGGAGCGCGCGTGGGCGTCTTTCACGAGAGTATACCCGGCGAATTTTTGTTTACCGGGGAATTTGCGGGCTGCTAATGGCATCGCGACGCCTACGAACCCGAGGCTAGGCAACCTGTAGCCGTTCGCGTGCTACCGCGTAAGGCGAGGCAGCAAAGAACGGCTGCCCACCAGTTTACTCCTACGAGAAAGAGAACGAGACCGATGGAACGAGCGACGCGCCGCGGCGATCGCTTCCAATTTTCCAAGAAGATTATCGAGCCACGCGAGGAAACGGACTCCGGCTCGCCCCGACGTCCGACGCGGCTAATCGCGAGAATTAACCTCGAGTCGCCGCGAACGATCGCTTCCCGAGGTTGGCAACGGATTCCCTTCGGTTTCCGTGGAACACGCGCGAATCGCGCGAGCGAGCGAGCGTTCCGCGAAAGCGAATCTCGACCAGCCTGGAATTAATGGGATCGTGAACGGCGAGCTGGACGCGTCGACAGCTCCGATTCGCCGCGGACGTCGACCGCGGGCTTGCCCTCGCGGAGAAATCTGCGCGCGGCTAATGGTCGAGCAGGGGAAAGCTTCGAATGTTTACGGCGACACTTGCTCGGTACACCCTGTATAGATTCCGCGGCGACTCCTACGCGACCGCCGCTCGTTATTATTATTTAAGCGCGGCGCGCTTCGGCCGGCGAGGGGCGGCCGGGGGAGCCGGGAACGAGCGCGCGAGGAAACGGGACGCGCGAAAAATCGGCGGCCGGAGGATATCGGTCCGGTCGGCCCGGTCACACCTACGGGAAAGAGAAAGAAACTCGAGGAAACCAGCGGCGCGGCTCTCGAGCGGTGTTATAAACGGTCGAGAGCCGCGATCGGGGGGCGATCGATCGCCGGCCAACTGGATCGCCGCTGTTTCCCGGCGAACCGACGAACGAGTTCACCTACGCGCCGCCGACAAATCGCGGGGCCCAGCAGGCTGCACGCGGCTTCGCGACCCGAGCGGCGGCGAGCCGCAGAATTCCGAGCGTGGATCGCGGTTCTTTCGTTTCACGCCGGGGGAAGTGGCAGTGCAACTCGATAACGTTCCTTTTCACTTTACGGTCGAGTACTGAACAGCTGGTACAGATCGAGGGATCGCCGATCGATCGTGAACCTCGTGGGAGGAGCGATCGAGGAGGTGGGCGGGCTAAAGCCGTCGATGGGAGGGGCGATAGGGATCGTTCGAAAAGCAGCGATGAGAATCGGTGGACGAAGCTTGCGAGAGTCGATGAAAATTGCTGACAGAGGCTGAAACAAGTGAGTGGGCGTGGCTGAACGGATCGTAGGGTGGGGCTCCAATAGGCATTAGCGGGAGGAGCTTGCGGGGACCAATCGGAATCGGCGGGCGGGGCTACGGAGGAATGATTGAAAGTGAGAAGTTTTTGTCGCATGATCAAGCAATCGAAACCGAGCTAATAATCGCGAGGCGACTGTGCTGATCGTTTGGTAAATAAAAATATTGACCTTGACTGTGGACCAATAGCTGCTCACCCGGCAGTGTGGGCGGTGCTACAGCCACTCAATTCCCAGTTCTTGCTCGCGCATGTTCGCCGTAGACTTCGATTCTGCTCGGCGAAGCGCAGCCAGTTCGTTAGTAGGGAAATCAGAAAAACAGAAGCTTGAGTCACAGGTAATACAGGTCCACCGTGCGGAGCCGAGGTCCGTAGCGCTCGTGCACGCGCAAGAAAAGGGAAATAGGTGTGCCCGACTCCGCCCACTAGTCTGCACGGCCATCCGCGGCATTAGCACTTTTCGCGTGTAACGTGCAAACGAGAAAGTCGATCGAAAAATACTCACGTCTTTGCTGGGTACGCAAAGGGGCGTTCCTTCCTTAACGATTCCAGCCTCGACCATCACGCCCATCACGATCGGGTCGCGGGAGTTGAAGATGTACTGAAACGGAGCGCATCGGTATTTTAGACGGAAACGCGACGACAACTTTCCCGAAGCGTTTCGAAACGATCACCAATGCTGTGTAGTACCTGCGGCAATATGCGAAGTTTGCACGGGAACACGGCGATGTGCTTGTTCTCGTCTCGCTTGCGTTGCTTCAGCTCTTCCCTGTACGCGGTGAACTTGTCGAACAGGTGGTAAATGATGTCCGCCTGGAAGATCTTCACTCCGAGGGAGTCGGCCAGCTCCTGGGCGTCTCTTTCGATTTTCACGTCGAAGGCGAGGATCGTTGCGTATCTGCGACGCAAAGAATCCACGGTACGTTACACGATACGTTACACGGTACGAACTAACAATATCCCCGTCCGTTGAAAGCAAACGTTTCGCCGGATAAAGGGTAGCTTCGGAAGCTTCATAGTCATTCTCGGAGTACTCACTGACTGTCGTGCTCCAACATGATGGACGCCTTCATCACATCCTTCTTGACCACGGGACCGATACGGATTCCGGCGTACTGTAACATAATAATAAGAGTAATTGGTCTTTGCCGTGCAGTTACCCTTCGTCTTCCTCCCACAATCGGTTGTATCATCGTCGAATCTTTCTACCGTAAGGTCCTTAACGTTTCTAGCGCGCCGTACACATGCAGCTATTTAATCATCGCGGACCTTCGTCGTTATTTTCCCATCGCGCGGTGCCGCGTGGCCGAGAGAAAAAGGGTGCGAAACGAAAATGGAATGCCTGGGGGGATCCTTCGTCTTTCGCGGGAGCGCGCCGTTGAAACGGGAACGCGGCGGATCGGAGCGCAACGTAGTTCCGTACTCGGAAGGAAAACAAAATATTAAGGTAAAACATAAACCACTGTCACCGTAACATAAATACATGGGGAACGGTATGCGCGCGAGCGTGTGTGTCGGATTCGCCGCGAAAATAACTAGTGACGCATGCTGTCCGGATTCGGCCGGCCCGGTGCGACGAGACGCGACACGTAGAAATAAACGCACCTACAACCGACCGATACGCTCGATCCTCGGACGGCCGGCTCGATCGCCGATTAGAAAATCGCTGCGAGATCTCGATCGTGCACGGTGACCTCGAAGTAACGCGTCGATCGCCGACGAGCGCCGCTTTCGAACAATTTTAATATGTTAGCGAAGAGTAGCGTGGCTATTGTGGATCAACGCGTCAACTGTCACGAAAATCATCAGCGTTTCGCGTAACACTTACTCCTCGCTGGAAGGCGAATGGAAACAATCGTCAAATACTCCTCATCGCGATCCTTGCATTGTACTGTTACGTTAAGCATTTTTATCCGTCAGACATCTTACGCGTGACAATTGTTTCCGAGCGATTCGGAAGCGTAGGTCGTCGTGCCATGGCAGCCGACGTTAACCCCTATTTTGTGATTACATATTATCTTGAAAGAAAATTTGTACATAAAGTGCAGTGGACGATTTCTTTGCGTTTTTTCTGAACTGCTGATAGAAACATTTTGCACGAGCTCAGTAGCGAAAGTAAATAATACGGCCAGGGGTTAACGATTGAGTCGCTCGAAGGCGAATAAATCCAGAAAAGAAACATTGAGAGAATCGGCCTTTTAGATGATTATACGCATTCCGACCTAGAGAAAACGAAGAAAGTACCGAAGAAGAACATATAAAAAAATCGACTGAACCGCATTGACTTCTGAGCGGCTCAATCGTCGCTCCGTATTTTCGCGAGGAAAGTAAAAGACGGAAGGTCCCCTCGGCAGTCGGTTAATGGATCGCCGCGCAACTACGTCGACTAATCGGCAGTTGTTAAACGCGAGAACAGCCCTTAATCCACATTCGACCCGGGATCAACATTCGAACGAATACCCTTTCGCTTGTTCCAACGATCGCTGCACGCCCGTAAATTCCCCGAGTCGTTTCTTTTCCCCCGGGGGCGAGCCTGCGCGTAAACCGTGGCTACGAGCGGGGAAATGTCCACGGGGAATTAAGGAAATTATGACACTCGTAAGTTCGTAAAAGCCGGGATCGCGGGATCGTGGTTTTAACGCGCCGGCGCGGCGCGCTCGTTCCGCGCGGGCTCGCTGTAAATATCCCGGGGGATGAATCTGTTCGTTCCGCCGGGCAACAAAGAGAAAAACTCGCTATTTACGATACGATCCGCGGGTAGTGTTTATGGTTCTGTTTACGAGATTCGACTCGGTACACTGTATTCGTACACTTTGTACCCCGTTTTACGGGAACCGGGTGCTCGGCAGGCGCCGCGAATAAAAAATCGAAACGGCGACCGAGCCGCGGCGGCGAAAAAACGAGCAACCCGCAGTCGAAAAGGGAGAAACGAGCTGCAGTTTCGTTCGATTCAACGGGCGGGTCGTTTGAATCGTTCGGGACCTCGGTTTCGATCGACTGTCGCCGATGATCGTCGTGTTGATCGTTCGTTCGAAGAAAGAACGTTCGAACGATTCGCCGAATTCGAACGACGTTTTCTCTCTACAACTCGCGAAATTCAAATTGCATCTCGTTTGTCATCTACTTTGTAGGTGGATCTACAAATCTACAAAGTAGATGACTAGACCATGGATGCGTTTCGAGTAACTCACGATGCCAGACGTCGATTTATAGGAAAACGAACTCGGAATCGTAGTTCGCAATATCGACGCGAAGGGAACAGGGAGTCGGGACAGAACCGAAGAATCGTCGCCGGGAATTTTCGGAGATAAGGCTGGTTTTTAAGACTTCCGGTTGCCCCGTCGCATTCCGATATTAGGAGGAGATACGAGCGGTCCGTGGTTTTTTACGTGGACCACCGTAACGCATCCTCCAACATGTTCCCGTCCACGTTAATGCCCCAACGTACCGGGTGACACGTGTTTCACCTTTTTTTTTCTCTTCCTCGACGGGACTTATTAAGACGATCGTACGGTTCTTTCGTCTTTAACCCCTTGCCTCGTAATACCGTGCCAGGCTATCGTTATATTCCACCGAACGGAAATTAAACGTCGTTTCTCTATCGATCGCTAAACTGTTAACAATAAAGTTCCAGCATGATTCCTTTTGTCTTTGTCGTTTCGATCATCATTCACATAGAAACATCCGATTTCGGTTGACGCTTTAAGCTTCGTTTCAAAGGAAAACATGAACATTTTTGAACGTATTTCATATCTAACTTCGAGAACAGACCCTCGAGTATCGAATACCAAAGAATTCCTGTTCGGTTCAAGCTACTCCTAAAAATCAGAAGCTTCACGCGTTACAACCCACAATTCGACGATCGTCTCGATGTCCATCCTTGCCAACGATCAACGATCGTAATCAACGATTCGTAATCGCGACTCGCGAGCGAACTCCGGCGGAGAGGAGTGAAACGAACGACCGTGCCGTTGTGAGCGAGCCTTAAGCGTGACGGTCCGGCGGAGGCAAACTCGGTGAAACTCCCGTGACCTTTACGTAACGAATGAATGAAGAGAACCGGCGCGGCGGCGATGAACGGCGGAGGGAAAAAGGAAAGAAAAACGCGAGCCAATTAGAAGGCACCGGCGCTCGATAAACGAGCCTACTCATCGAAACACACCGGGGATAGCTAGTCATGTTTCATTGATGAACGGCGAACCGGCGGCGAACCGGCGGCGAACCGGCGGCGAACCGGCGGCGACCGACCGGCGTGATACCATTCGCTGGAAAAAGGTAAGAGGACGCGGCAGCGCCGGTCCGGCCGGTCGCTCGGCCGGATCAATGAAAAAGAGAGAACGGAAAAAGGGTGTAGCGTGGGAGGTGGCCGGCCAACGTGAATGAGAGAACGCTGACCGAGCCGAACGAACAATAGACCACGCGGCGCGCGGATCGAACCTCGACGCGCGTGCTGCGCGCCGAAAAAACACGGTTGGACCCGATACACGCTGTCCGAGGCTCGCAATGCGCTCTCCGTTCGACCGGATATTCTTCGGTTGTTTACAAATCGCGACACCGCCGCGCAATAGACGAGCGTAGCCGAGAAAGTGAGAACAAACGGTCGATTATACTCGAACCGATTAACCTTTCGGCTACTCATCTTTTTGAGTACCGAAACTATAGCGGAATTCTTTCTCCGTTATCGATAGCTGTGCAGGTTACAGTCTAATCTAACGCAATCGCAGTGGATAATTCGAGAGCCGCAGTTTAGCCATGTTCTACGAAAGAAAGTTGTTTCGAAAAAGGTGCGCCGAGCGCAGAGAGATTCGCGAGGATTCGGCGATAGGTTATAGCTCGGCCGGAACAGATGCTACACATCGAACGGTGCTCGCACACGGTCGCGCGTGTGTGTACGCGCGAGAAAGAGCGGGGGGGACGGAGGAAAATAGAAAAGAACAAAAAGCGGGCGGATAAAAGGGCTGGGCCGGGCGCGAAGCGGGGAAACGCGGCAGAGAAAGCGGAGGGAAAGAGACGGAGATTCCACGGAGAAAAGACGAACGACAGATGTTGCCAGCGAAAGAAATGCTGGCACAAACGGGAGAGGAAGTCGGGAGGAAGAGAGAAACGGAGGGGCCCGTGGGAGAGAGAGGGCCGCTTCCGGCATTAAAAACCGGCCGGCGGGGCACGGATCCTCTTCAGCCTCTCCTCGTAAACCGCGGAACATTTCGTAGAACGATTCGTAGACCACCCTGTATATAATGCAAGCGTATACAGATAGATGAATAATCACGCCGCTAAACGGACATTATCGCGAAAATCATCGACGGGACGGTACGCGACGGGATCGCAGGGGATTCGAGCGTCCCGATTTTGTTGGCCTGCATTTTCCACGGGAATCAACGCGCGCGATTAACGAAACGTTCATCGGAACGTTTAATAACGTCGATAGCTCGCGTGGCTACGATAGCGACAACCTACTCGAGAACCTTCGACCCTTCTCTCGTGTAGATGCTGGCGAAAAACGGCACCGTTTGTCGATATATCGTCGGGAAGGCGAGAAGATTTTCGTCCGGACGCAACAATTGCAACGATTGCAAGAATTCCTCAAAAGGAAAGGAGACGGAAGTGAAACGCATCGATATTTCTACGTGTATAACATGAAATCTTTCTTCTCCCTGGTTCGTTAACGCTGGAAACGGAACGCGTCAGTTCGACGCACATCGAATTTCATGAAGATCGTTCGCTGAACCGTTCACCTTCGAACCGGTGATTTCCGAGACCCAAACGAACCGCAATTTTTCTATAGACGATAGGATAAACTTTCGAACGAACACCCGTAAGTGTTAGGAGAAGAATCGCGGAACACGCCGATTAAGGGAAGCGACTCGCGATCGAATTAACGGTCGCGTTTCGATCTCGATTAACGCGTAATCGGAGCGGTTATTAGTCAATTGCGGAGTCTGGGTTAGACGACGTGGTTCGGTTCCGTTGCACGGTGCCTCGTGACGGCCGGACGGACGAACGAACGAACGTACAGACGGACGGATGGACGGACGGACGGACGGACGGACGGACGGGCGGAGGTGCAGCTCGCTCCTCTTCTGCAGCAGGAAAAGATGGCTCGTTTCCTCGCATT